CTCTCTCTCTATAAACACCTCTCTCTCTCTCTCTCTCTCTCTAAGTAGCTGTAACGATTATTGTCGTCGTCTTAAACTAACAGCTTTCAAGAATTTCAGAACTCTCTCTATATATATAGGTGTGCTTTTGTCCAAATCCTTTTGAGATTTGAATTTGAATTCAAGAATTGAAGTTGAATTATAATACAAATAATATTATACCATATTTGCCCTTACTTGAAATTACATTTTTTCCCTTATATGAGCAATTAAATAATTTTTTTATATTAATAAGTTTCACGTATCACTATCAGAAAACAAAAGGTATACCGTGTATATATATATATATGATCCGTTTGAAAGAAATTATAAAAAGTTTGAAAGAAATTTTGCAAAAGTTTTCTAGGAAAAAGAAATTATAAAAAAAGAAAGAACATCCTAAAAAAAATTTATAATTATAAAAAAATTATACTAGATTGGCAACTAAAAATATATATATAAAATAAATTTGACATATTTGTTATTGATCAGACCACGTACTCCCTCAACCATCTAATAATTTCTTAAAGCAGAACTATTTCCTACCATTTTCATTATCCACTTTGAATTTTATATTGTTTTAGGAGACAATGCATTTAACTTTTTAAAATTCCAAAATTACGTTTGAAGTTAAATATATAGAGCATCAAGTTTGAAAATTTTATTTAACTTCTCTTAACTTTCATATGGGATAACAAATTTGGATAATCACAAATAGAAAAGATAAACTATTAAAATGGAACAATGGGAGTATGATTTAAGTTTAATATCTAACAAATTCAAAATGATATATATAATAATTTGGAATACTTTATAGGCCAAATTGCACTAAACACTCCTGTATAACAAAAAGTTGTAAGTTTTACCTGAAAACTACAAGCCTTCATTTTTTTTTTTTTTTCGAGAGGTAAAAAAAAATAAAAGATAAATAAATAATGGGTATGTAATTGAAAGGATGAGGGTATTTTGGGAGAAATTATTACATGATTATGAGACCATTGATGATTTGCACTAATCACTACTTGACATCTAAGTGTATATATACATATAAAATCTTATTTTTATTCAACTTTTTAATTACATATTAACTAATAATTGATCAGAATCATGTAATAATTTTTCTTTCTATATTTTATTAGGAGGGTTTTGAAGAGAATTTAGTATGGTCATAGAATAGTCGAATCTCACTAATTTTGTCTTTTCATCCAAGACGCAGCGAATCATATTTTCAAAAGTTATATTTACCACTTCTGTTTTATCATTTATCTGCGGATGAGTAGTGCTGTTTTACTTATCAAATTTATTTGTCATTCAAAACTGTGCATACTAAGAACGGTGAAGTATATTAAAAAAAAATAAAAAATCAATCCTCCAATTTGGGCTCATTTTAAACTTGATTTTGAATTCTTCTCACTTTATGGGAATATAAAGTATTTATAGTTTCTAAATAATCTCTTTCATTATATTATTATAGTAATTATATGTACTAAACCTTAAGTTGTTAAATTTATCAACAAAACTGCTATCTTCTATCAAAAGTTTGGGTAGTTTCTAAATAATCTCTTTCATTATATTATTATAGTAATTATATGTACTAAACCTTAAGTTGTTAAATTTATCGACAAAACTGCTATCTTCTATCAAAAGTTTGGGAAACCCTCCTAATAAGATTTTATAAATAAATGAGAGCACATGAATTAAAATATATAATTGCGGCCAAGCTATTAATTGGGCTCTACTATTAGCTGGGCCCGATTAATCTCGAAATCCCCCACATTTATAAGTATTTCTTTTAAGATGAGGTAACTCGTAACAAATTTCATGGATTATATCCTCCACAATTTTGGTATTTAATTTATGGTAGTTGAAAAATCATAATAAATACATCAAAGATAAAATTTCATTTTTACTTCGTAGCAAATATACATAACAGTATCTTGTGCAATTATTGATAAAAGTAACGAAATATCTTTTTCCACCTCTAGTTGGCACAAATTTAAGATAATATAATATGCTACATAATATCATATTACAAAATTAAAATAATTCAACCAATAATGAATTATATAAATAATGCAATAATCTACTTATATAGCATGCTTCAATTTCACATAATATTGAATACATCAATATTTAGCATATTTTCATATAATAATCTATATAACATTATTTTATTATATCTTAATTATTAGTATAATCTCTACTTATTAATAATAAAATTTACACAAGAAATAAATTATTTTAAGATTGTTGAAAAATATATGTTTCATATGGCATCTAAGATATAACTAACATTAAACTAATATGTCTAATTAATAATATGTTAAAATAATTAATTAAATATGCAACTCGATATTTAATTAAGCATTCAAATTGAAGTAATAAAATAATAATAATAAATAAAGAACCTAGACAGAGGCTAGTATTGGTTACTACGTCCTTAAGATAATTTACGTCTCGTATGGTGCTGACGGACTTTGTGACGTTTATCTCCCAAGATACAACGGTCTACATCCACCGGTAGTAGCACTACAATGGATATAGCGAACCTCCTCCATATAATACCATCTCTGACTTAAAAATGCATCTATACTATATAAATGCTGAATTGAGTGCACTCCGAAACAAATGGTTCACACTAATCTTAATATGGCTCGATAAAATTAGATTAGGGTCTAAGTGGCTCGGACCACTTGACCTATGGTTTGAACCTACATGGGTTGGGTTCAAGAGAGGGAGAGAGAAGAAAATGAATTGAACAAATTGCAAATGACAGCTCAATGGGGTATTTATATTTATAGAAATAGAAGTATTTTTTTAGATTGGGTGTTTTTTCATCATTGAACACAATCATTCATATGTGTCCCTTCATCACTGGACATAACCATTTTTATGACACAACCATTTATACGTGTCTCTTTACAATTGACACAACCATTTATATGTATCCATTCATCATTGAACACAATCATTTATATGTGTCTCTTCATCACCGGACACACCTATTGTATTAGGTTGCAATGATTCGCATTGAATAGGTTATGTCTGTTGATTTTGAGTTGCATCTTTTCATCCCACAAACAACCAGTGATCACACCTGTTCAGTCAAAAACATCTATTAATTACTAATGAAAAAATTTTCATTCAAAAATTCTATCAAGTAAGTGCAGAGGCTCGAGAGTATGGGGATTCAAATTCTACGGGAGGCCCTTATTCAACTGGGTTGTGAGGCATCTATAAGGAGCAAATATAAGTTGCCAAATAATCCCTGTGTACCAAAAACATAACAATAATAATTGCCCTTTTGACTTGACATTTTAATAGTGTAATTTTTAATATTTTTTTACCCACATAATTTGAATTGTTTTTAGAACTTCAAAGTAATGAGGGTAAATTAGGAATATTAAAAAAGTAATGCATTGGAAGGAGAAATTGGACAACTATTTTGGCCAACCAAAAATGAAAAGGTGAATGATTTTTTGTGGGATTGAGGGAGTGCATAATTATATTGTATATTGTGCTAAAAAAATGGTATATACCAATACTTTTTTAATACAGTGTTATTTGTAATATAGGCTAGAAAGTTGTCAAAAAATTAAATTTTTCCTTATTTGTTTCTAATAAAAGAAAAGGCTAAACACGAGCAATCAACTGATATAATAAGCCCCTATGCATGAATGTTCCTTTTGAATTCCAAAGTTTGGCCTTGAAAACCAATTTATGATCACACTTCAAAAGCACAAGAAGCAACTGCTTTTCCATGGGGACTTTGGTTTATCATGTCGTCAAAGTTATAATGTAAATCTGTGTTAACTTACCCTGCATGAGTTTTGATAAAGAGTACGGTAACTAATAATTTTATGTAAGTAAGAATTAACCTCATCATAATTTCTGATGTTTCGATAACATCAGTATTTATCGCTCACGTGAACTTTCCAAAATTTTAAACAATGGAAACATAGCTACCCATATACTTCACAAGTGCATCAACACGTTACTAAATACCAAACCATAATAAAAACTCTTCCACGATTAAACACTCTTTCTCGTATCCTACTCGTGGTGGGTATACCCATCATACACCATTCTAACAGTTCATAAATGAATTCCACCCATTTAGGAAAAAAAAAAATTCCACCCAACTTCTTAAACAAAGTTCCATGCCCAAATAGTTCAAACAAAACCGTGTCTAAAGTCACATTGTTCAAGTTGGGCAAGAGAGTTAGAATATATTATAAGCACAGTTTATGGAATGACTTATTATATTAGCAGGGATTTAATTATGCTATGAATAAGATGTAATTTGATTTAATTTCCTTTTGTAATATGAGCATGTGTTTTTTATATCTATAAATATAAGAGTCGGGAAGAAGTGATATATCTCATTTAAAATTTCAAACCTTTTACATATTTCTCTTATCTTTCTTCTATATTGTATTTATACTTATATATACATATTTTGTAATTCTCATTGATTTATTGCTTATACCAGTGTCAAACTCTTTATTAAAAAAAAATTATTCCGTACCATTTTAATTATCCACTTTGAATTTTATAACTTTTTAGGAGACAATGCATTAACCTTTTAAAATTCCAAAATTACCTTCGAAGTTAAATATGTAGAGCATCAAGTTCAGAAATTTTAAATTGACAAATTAGTCCATAAAATTTCCTTATAGGTCACGGATATATTACCTACCAAAATTGGCACTTTCCATATCCATATTATCGATCACCGCCTTTTCGAAAACACTTTCCATATCCATATTATCGATCACCGCCTCTTACTCCTTCCTTCACCAGGTTACATTATATATATATATATATATATATATATATATAAATCTAACTGCCCTCTCCTGTAGTTGTATAGTGCCGTCTTCTTACTGTCTTCATCGTCTTCTTCTTACTCTGTTTCAATCATTCAAAGCATGGAATTGCCTAAAAAACCTGTAATTGTGAGAGAAGTATGGAAGAATAACATGGTTGAAGAGTTCTGTTTGATTCATCAAGCCCGAATTGAATACCCATACGCCTCGATCGATACTGAATTTCCTGGAACCATCGTTCGTCCAAACATCAACCAAAACCTACCCTATCAAAATCGATCCATCCAAAACTACCATTTTATGAAGTTAAATGTGGATCAATTGAAGCTGATCCAGTTGGGGCTCACCCTTTCAGATGCGCAAGGGAAGCTTCCCGATTTTGGTACAAATTCAACCTACATCTGGCAATTCAATTTCTGCGATTTTGACATTGATTCTGATAATCACAATAGGGACTCGATCGACTTGCTTCAACGCCAAGGTATCAATTTCGTGAAGAATAAGCAACAGGGTATTCATGGAAGGGACTTTGCTGTGATGTTGGGTTGGTCTGGATTGATTTTCAGGAGGTGTCCTTTGACTTGGGTTACATTTCACAGCGCCTATGATTTTGGGTTTCTGATCAAGTTGCTGATTGGCAGAGAATTGCCTAATGATTTGAGCGACTTCATGCGGTTAGTGGGATTTTATTTTGGGATGAGAGTTTATGACATCAAACATATGATAAGATATTGTGATGGCCTGTTTGGTGGTTTGGAAAGAGTAGCCAAGGCTTTGAATGTCAATCGTGTGGCCGGGAAGAGCCACCAGGCTGGTTCGGATAGCTTACTCACCATGCAGACGTTCCACAAGCTGAGAAATGTTTATTTCAATCCGAAGGTGGACACAAAGTTGAACAAGTTTGATTCGGTATTGTTTGGGTTGGAAGTAAATTGATAGTTGATTTAATGTTCTTGGTACAGTTGTGTCTCTCTTGTAGTTATCTCTGTAGTTGTTGTTACATGTAATTTCGAAATTGAAAATATGCAATCTTAGGTTCTCTATTTCAGTTCTTACAATATTTGCATTTTTTGTTATCTCTGGCATTATGTTACACTTTTGATCTCAAACTAGCTACCAGTGCATACACAGACATCACGGTAGACATTAGATCAGAACAAGCTTTCATTGCGTAGACTTTGAGTACGTACAATGGATCAGTGTGGGGCATACCCCCACATATATAACACTCCAGATTTCCAATGCAATTAAAAAACCAGATCAGGAAACATAAAAATAAAATTACTAACATTTGGAAGTTTAGCCCAGCGGCATCTACAACCATGTAACAGGTAGCCTCTTCAACGGATGAGCACACCCCTTGGTGGTATCTCTTATTTCTCTCACCCCACAAAGCCCATAGCACAGTTGTGGATTGCAAGAACCAGGGTGAAAGTGGTGCATCTCGGCAAGCCCCAAACAAAAACATCCCTGCCCCTATGATTCTGTTTAACAGGCTGCATCTGCTCTTCCACCAACATTCCGAGACCCCATCTACCATCCTGCATCAAAACCTGCAGAGTAGCAAACCGAACCAGATCCCAGTTTAGGACTTCACCAAACCAAGTCCAGAAGGCATGAGCAAACTGACAAGACACAAACAAGTGATCCCTACAATCAACCTCTTTATGACAGTTTGAGCATCTTGCAGCCTCCTCCTGTGAAGATTAACCGTAGAGGAGAGTCTATCAAGCATCACAAATACAGCAGTTACAGACCATCGAGGCCTAACCTTACCCCAGCACAGATGATGCCAATCCACCTATTCACAGGGCAACATTCCCAAGCCTTTTCAAAAACAACCAAAATCCCACAAAATTTTATCCTTAGCAGCATAAATAGGAACAGCAGAAATAAATTCTCTGAATTGCTGCAACAGATCATCTTGTAAGAGCATCAACTTCCAGCTTCCATTGAGCAGCAAACAATCCAGACCATTCAGCAACTGTCAAACCATCACACCAAGGATCTAGGAAGGTATAGATAGGCCTCGTAATACTTCCTCGGTTTCCAAAGTAGGAGATCATAAGTAATACAATATACCTAAGGGCTTTCACTAATTTCTATAACAAGTTCAACAAGAACCTAAACAGAAATAAGGAAAAAAAACACACCCGGAAATGAAAAGTTAACAAGAAATGCAAAACAGAAACCCTTGCAACCAATAATGTGCAGCAGGAGTTTTTTTGACAGTTTGATTGGTTAAATGGGTACAGCAAACTGGCTTAAAGTTTTAAGAGCACATACGCTATCCTAGATAGAGATTATGCTAGTTGCGTACATAATAATAATTGGTGCCAAGCTAAATCTGTATATGTTGTTTCCAAATATACATGTCAGCCAGAGTTTCCCAAAAATAGCAAAGGGAAGAGCCAGTAATGGCCTGATGCTATCCTTAACAATCCTAGAGAAGTGCACTTTATATGTCAACTCATTATACTAAATACATGGGATTGCTTAAGACATGAACGGAGCTTTGATGTGAACTTACAACATCAACAGAGTACCGCATGAATCTTCCTTGGTTCCCGGAAGAGGAAGAATGAAGACAGAAAGGGATGAGATTGTGGTGGTGGTTTTTGGTTGAAAGCAAGGGCGGATCCAGGATTGTTGATTGGGGTGGGCTAATATAGGATTGGGCTAATTATGGGTAGGCTAAAATTTTTTTTTTTTTTGGGCTGGGCTGAAAGTAGTGTAGTAAAAAAAAAAAAAAAAAATTTTGGGGTGGGCTGAAGCCCACCTTCGCCCACCCCTCCCTCCGCCCTTGGTTGAAAGGACAGTCAAAAACCCTAGCTTTGTCTTCAGATGATTCTTATAACCAACTCTACCCACTCTTTATCCTACAGTTTCTCAGGAATTAAACAAAAACTCAAGCAAGAAAGAAGCAAATCCATCTTTATAAAGCTTCTAGAAGCAAATCAAATGCAAGAAAATCCTCGGGCTTGTTTGGTTGCCGAGAAAATGGAGAAAACGAAACAGAGGATTGAGAATTTTGGTATCGAAATCTCACCAGAGTATCAGTGGCCATACTGAGTCTGGGAAGGAACGAAACGAGGAAGGTGTGGAAAAGATTGGACAACAGTCATTGCAAGGAGGTGCGTGCTTGGGTTTGAAATGGAACCTATCTTTCTCTCACTAGTTTCTCTCACATCACTGTTTCTCTCACTGGGTGCCTCCTCCATCTTACTCAATTCATACTCCAGCTGGCTCTTTCTCACTCTAACAGAGTTGGAAGCTTTTTCCTTCTCCTTCAGGTTTTGTTTCATTCGCCTTCTTTCTAAGCTCTTCTAATTCTTTCCAAAATTAACAGAGTTGAATTATGATACACAACACTAGAATACTTAATTTCATTAATTAACAATATATATATATATATTAATTTATTTATTAGCAATGCGTGGTCACAAATACAATCTGTGTAGTTCCAATTTGTGAGGATGCCACTAAAGAGACCTCTGTGAATTGTTCTTCCTAGCATGTTGACGATCCCTTATATAACTATGCTGCTTAATTAAATGTTATATATATATAGCTAGAGAGAGAGAGAGAGAATAGATGCACATACCTACAATTTGCCATATGGTTTCACAATTATTTTTACAGTACTCCCTAATTAGCTGATTTATAAATCAAAATTAACTACATTTAACATAAACAGAAGAAAATTCCTCAGAAATAGTACTACCATGACAGGAATTAGGAAATAGTAATGTTATCGGAAGCTATTTAATGATTGAGAAAACTTATAAAAAATACAGAGAGGAAGAAAAATCATCAAATACTTTTTACTGACTTAGAGAAAGCCTATGATAGGATACCTATAAATTTAACATGGAGAGTTTTAGAAAAGAAATGAGTCACAAAGAGATATATTAACGTGATAAAGTACACGTATGATGGTAGCATGACTATAATTAAAACAACTGTGAGAAATCAAGTGAATTTTCAATTTCTGTTGACTTATGTCAAGGGTTAGCATTAAGAATATCGTTTCCCTTAGCTATGGATAAACTGATGAGATAGAATCAGATTCCATGGTATGTGTTATTTGATGGCATACACTCGATAACCCATTTTCAAAATTATGATCAAATTAATGAAGCAAGGTTAAGATTAAAGATTAAAACCCTATGTGAGGAGATGGACCTCTAATCGGAAATTAAGTTGGAAAACCATGTAGAAATAGGAACACCCTATCCATCAAAAAATTTAATTCCGTGAGATAAATCATGGGATAATTCACAATCAAAGTATATATTAATGCAAAAACAAATAGAAAAGAAAGGACCTAATACTACTATGTCATAATCTTATGATTTTGTTAATGTAGAACACGACTCACAGTCCCAAAGCGCAAGACAAAACATACTAAGTCAGGGGAATATAATATATGTAAATAAATGACATCTCAAAATATAATTCAAATAAATGCTGAAGGATTTAAATCGAATTCAAACACTAAGGTCTCGAAGTAGTTACCTTGCTTAAACAACCACATTTGAAGGTCTCTAAGGAGCGAGCCTACACAACTCTAATGCCCATTCCTTTTGAAAAGAACAATAAACCTTAGCATGATAAGTGTTCTTCACATCAGCATCAGTTGCCTCAAAGGTGATATACCACATTTGACCAGACACGCACTGTCTATTTGCCTTGATCACTCTCACAAACTCAAGATTTGAATTCTGTGACATGCAGCTTTAATTACATTCAATGAAGACAAATCACCCACATAAGGTACACAAAAATCATAAATTTTTTGGACATTCGATTTGAAGGAGTTTACACAGGGTGGGCAGAAAGGACAAATACAAATGATATATCACCCACATAAGGTTCATTTGCAGTTTAGACAGAGTGGGAAGGAAGGAGTTGGAGAGGCACGTTAGAGAGTTCATATTGAAATTAAAATAGCATTGCTGCAAATGCAGTGAAGTTAATCGGGTCATTTAAAAAAAAAAAAAACTTTAGAGGGATGAACTTGCCTATTCCTCCTTTTCCCAAAAGGTTCTACAAGCTACTACCCAACTTGGGGAAAATTACCAATAATCAATATGGGAAAAAGTTGCTTGCAAAAGCCCTAATCCATGTGGGTATACCATATATAGTCGAAAAAATCCAAAACAAACACAACCCTGATTTTAACTTCCTACATATTACCATGGGGTGGTTGGGATAAGGTAGATTCTTTTAACAATGACTAGCAGAAGGACAATACAGCAATAATAATAAAGTGATGGACTAAGAACACATTTAACAATGACTACTAGAAAGACAATAAAGATAACAAATCACCCACAAAAGGTTCACAGAAATCATAAATTTTTTTGAACATTCGATTTGAAGGTGATATACCACATTTGAACATATGCAGCTTTAATTACATTCGATTTGAAGGTGGTACTAATCACAGTGTAAGCTAGGTTTAATTACACTAGATTTGAAGGTGATATACCACATTTGAACATATGTGGCTTTAATTAAATTGAATGAAGACAAATCACCCACATAAGGTTCACAGGGATCATAAATTTTTTGCATTTTACACATCACAAACACAGACACAGTGGGAGCGAAGGAGTTGGAGAGGCACATTAGATATAAAATTGCATTGCTGCCAAAAAAACAAAAACAAAATCTCAATCTAAATCTAAATCTAAACCTGTTAGTTGTTGTGCAGCTCGAGAAGGGTTTAGTTCCTAGTCAAACCCTCTGTAATTGTAGTAGATATTTATGTAGATTTGAAGAGAGAGAGAGAGATAATACCTTTTTGTCGACGAAAAGCCCAGTCTCCAAATTCCGTAGGCGGCTGCACATACCACCCGGAAGAGGAGGAATGAGGACAGAAAGGGCTGAGATTCTGGTGGTGGTTTTTGGTTGAAAGGCCACTCAAAAGCCCTAGCTTTGTCTTCTTCAGATGATTCTTATAACCAATTCTACCCACACTCTCAGGCACACAACGAAGAGCCATGGATGGATGCGTACGGATTCAGCGGCGGAGGAGGATATTTTCAGGCGGTCGGATTGAGCTGCGGAAGAAGCCTTGGGAAGATTATGAAATGAGCAAAAATAATATAAGTGGAATCGCTTGGGATGTGTGTGAACTGCGAACTGTGAAGCAGAAACAATGTGATGTTTGAAGTGTGTTCAAATACTCTTTCGAAATTTGGTAACATATATTTGTTGTGAGATTTTTAAAAACAAAAATATCAAAACAATTTTGATAAAAAGGTGTTTCAAATTTGAAAAAATAAATGATTAGTTAAATCCCTATTATAATGGTTTTGGTAAAGCGCCGGAGCAATCGGAAGGTGTTTTTAATTTTGGCCTTTTTTTCGGAAATATTTTGGAATTATTCAAATCACAACTAATGTTACCAAACAAGTTTCATAGCAATGCGGTTGCCAAACAGCCCCTTGATGTACCAAATTTTTTTTTTTTTTAATTAGTAATGTATGATATAAAAAAATGAGATTCTCCATTTCTTAATATTTGATAAAGCAATTCACTTATGAATCTAAATATCTTTTTTTTTCGGTCACAAATTACGAAAAATAAAACAACCCAATTCGTATTTAGTCATCAATTCAAAGGAGGAAATATAAATGTCAAATACATAATTATATTGTGTTGGAGCAATGATACATATCACGAAATATTTCGGTGATATGCATCACGAACCACATTATAAGAAGTCGCCACAATTCTTCCCTTCTCTCTTTTAGTACTCATTCTTGACTCAAGAGCTAAGATGGGATACGAGACAAGGACATCGCACGATATGAATACAATCACACTTCAAATTCTAAAAAAGTATAACATTGACACAACGTGGACATGACTGTATAAATATTATCTATATTTATATATATTGAATGAGGCAATCATTGAACTTTAATTAATTAATAAATTCTATACTAAAGTTACACAAGTTAGAGGATGACCAATATCAAAAAGAAGATTTTATATTATAGATGATATTACTATCCTATCTTGTTATCATAATTATATTTTTGTTCCCGACACTTTGATGTATGTTCAAATGTTGTTTTCGAGATTGTCATGCTTTTGTTTTTTTATGTTGGCTAAATGTTTTAATATGTCGACCAATTGTCCAGCATGTGTTGGCCAAGTATTCGAAATAATAAAATTTTATTTTTAAATACTCGACAGAGTCATTAGTGTAGACACATACTCCAGTGTCCACGGAATCACGACAAACATATAAGTGTATGTATTTCTTAGCTAACGAGTCATGACATCTCAACCAACAAGTCAGTGTGAAACTATGAAATGGGTGGTCAGTGACCCTGCTTGGTTAACATGAAACTGTTTTTAGAGAATTATAAAAGACATTTATAATTGAGTTTTCATAAAATAGATATAAGCAAACTAAAAAAAACAGAGTTTTTGTATAATTTTTCAATTTTCAATTATCTCCTGATTTTCTTGGTCCAATTTTTTGTCTTTAAAAAAATGAAGTAATGGACTCCACAAAATACAACAATTTGATTGTGACATTTTATGTTTAGAGAGAGATGTAAACTCTCTTCGAACATTGATTATGCAAAGTTCTTTGGCAAATTTTTGCAGTTTCGGTTGAAAATTGATTTCCGACCATCAAAAAAATGCTACTCACAACAAGATTATAGCCAATATAAATCACAGATATGGGGTTGTAAATTGAGATTCTAAGAAACATAGATGAAATTTCAGTATTTAAATATGTTGACAAAAACATTGATCCCTACCCATTCAAGAGTAACCATTTTCTAAACCAGATTAAGAAAACCATCAATGTTTTGATCGTTGAATAACCCATTTTATGAACCAGATATAGAGATTAAGATAATCATCAATGGCTTCTGTCGATTATCTTTGGGATATGTCGAATACTGCATTTTTATGCATAAATGCGGAGTAACGTAGACAAGTAAAATGTTTTGTACTTCATTGTTGTGCACACTTCATTTGGAGAAGGTATTGGGTGTCTCCGGCGCACCATACACCAAGCTCATCCGAACCTTACTTGTTATGCAATATGCACGTACGACTTGGATGAGCTGGTACACCGTGCACCCGACACACGCAATATCTATTTCTCCGTTTGGATGCACTCTCAGAATCAAAATAATAACAAAAAAAACTTTAGAGGGATAAACTTGTCCAACACCAAGGGCCTTTTGGCCCAGTGGTATCCTCTACATCTTAAAGTGGATAGTGAAGGTTCTAGTCTCCAAAATAGCAAAGTGGGTGTGTCAATAATGTGTGTAAGTTTTTTGCCAATGATAAAAATAAAAATAATAATAATAATAATAAAACTTGTCCAACAACCGCCATGCCCCATCATTCAAGATTAACATCACAGAAAAAATTTTTATCCAAAATTTTCTTATATGCACTTTGTGTGGAAGAGAGAGAATATACTCCACTTCACAAACAAAAACTCTTCCACCGTTAAATATTCTCTCTCCTATCATACATCACTCTTTAACAGTCCAGAAATGAATTCACTCTACATAAAATTCTTTTTTTTTTCCGTAAAAATCTTAATAATAGTAAAGGGACAAGAATTGAGCATGAAATTCGAGCTGTCTCCTAATCAATTCATAAATACCAAACAAGTAATGCTATATAACACAGGGCTTTCACTAATTTCTACAACAAGAGCCCATACAGAAACAAGGACAAACATGCCCCCGGAATTCAAATGTTTACAAGATATACAAAAGAGAAACCCTTGAAACAAATGTTAGCTAGAGTTGAAGGGTTTATTCAAGTAAATTCTACGAACTGCTCAATAGGAGCAGCAAAATGTAACTGTAACCTTCCAAGAGTTAATCTTTGGATTCCGGTGTACCTAAAAACAAAAAAGAAGTAGTGCATCTGTACTAGAAACTTGTAGTTGAAAAATACCACTGTTAGGCAGCAGCCAAGAGCCTCACACGATGCCTAAGTAGTTGTCTGCGGCAGATGCCAACCAACCATAGGACAATGACTAAAGTAATAGCACAATAACCAAACAATCTTAAATGTAGAGCAGAAGCTGTTAGTTTTTGGTTTAGAGAACAAAAGAATGACCAGACAATAGATAGTCCACCAAAGGAAATGAAAGATGGCTCCCAGCACCATAATTAGAAAGAAAACATAGTTTGAAAATGGAAGACTAGATAGGCCCTAATTAGGAGATTATCAATTATGAAAATCATCATGATCACATGATTTCGAACCAATAGCTTCTGAATTTACATGTCAGTGTTTAATCATATCAAAACATGTCCTTCGAAACAATGTAGTCTAAACAAAAGATCATTTGAACTTCTTATCACATCGATGTCTACGAGAATGTGAAAACTATTAAAATCGCATCCTGATCTTCTATAGGCAATCACTTTGTAGAAGTAACTTTGTGCAATGGTACCAATTTTATAATTTCAAAAATTAGTGCAGCAAAATACCCAATGGAAAGAAGTTAAAATTGCCCATCTGGTAGAGGAGACTCAGAAGTAACTGCAAACAAGAATGAATCAGAATTAACAAGGGAATTTTTAATTAAAACAATTATGAGAAATCAAGGGAATTTTCAAGTTATGTTGACTTATGTCAAGGGTTAGCATTAAGAATATCTTTTGCCTTTGCCATGGATGAACTGATGAGATAGAATCAGATTCCATGATATATATTATTTTCATTGATGAAACTTGAGAAAAGATAAGTGCTAAATTGGATGTTTGGAGGAAAGGTCTAAAACTTAAAGGAATCTAGATAAGCAGGAATAAAAGTGTATATGGATTGTAACTTTAATTCAGATAACTAATTAACAATCACGAAACATGACAGAAAAATAAAAATGCCACACAAAAAGATTTAGCTTGGTTCGACACAAGGTGTGTATCCACGATGGAGATCCCGCGAAAGATTTTACTATCCGAAAAACAGAAGATTATAAGCTTCAGCACCCAAATCCTAGCTCTTGCTTTCACTCTCTGCAATTTCCAATGTCTCTCTATATCACTTCAAGAGATTAGTAAACAGGGTCCACGACCAGCAACAAAAAAACTAACCAAAAATTTTCCCTTTTTTTTTTTAGTTGGGATTCACACACACTGTCCCAATTGAGGTTCGAACCCTGACCTCCCTTTGGAAAGTAGGAGCCTTTTACCACTAGGCCACAAGCCTTTAACTATGGTAACCAATAAATAATGTACCTGATGAGAAAATAAAAGAATTTCTTCTTGCATAAAAAATGGATATCAAGTGTATAATGTCGATAACCCATTATCAACATTATGATCAAATTAATGAAGCAATGTTAAGATAAAAGGTTAAAATCCTATGTGAGAAGACGAAGCTCTAATTAGAAATTAAGTTGGAAAAACATGTAGAAATAGGAACACCATATCCGTCAAACGGTTTAACTCCTAAGATAAATCATGAGATAATTCACATTCTATTATGGTATCATCTTATGATTTTTTTTTTTATTTTTTTATTTTTATTTTTTTTTATGTAGAACACGATTTACAATCCTATTCCCATTAACTAATCTACTCTTTATGCAAAAAGAACTAATCTACTCTCTATGCAAAGAGAAAGAGAGAGGCATACTAAGAAGGGAATATAATAAATGATATCTCAAAATATAATTTAAATAAATGCTGAAGGATTTTAATCGAATTCAAACACTGAGGACCTGAAGTAGTTACCTTGCGTAACAACTTGATTTGAAGGGCTCTAAACAATGTTAATTTCCATTCCTTTTAAAGAGAACAGTAAACCTTAGCTTGGTAAGTGTTCTTCACACCAACATCATCAGTTCTCTCAAAGTGATATACCAATTTCTACTGAGACGCACTGTACGTGTAATACCCCGATATTTTAAAGGATTAATTACTTTTATTTTATTTTTAAATAATTTGTTTGATTTAATTGAGATTAATTGCTTTTATTTTATTTTTAAATGATTTGTTTTAGTTAATTGAGTGTTATGATTTAATTGTCTTATTTGTATTAAATTATATTTTGTGATTATATTTGATGAATTGGTGTGATGTTTTGCTTTGTGGAATGCTAAGATTGAATTATTTATTTGACTATATGTGATTTTATACTTGTCTGATTTTATTGTGAATTATTTGTATTTAATAGGTTTAATTTGATTAT